AGGCTCAGCTGGGCGAGCGGCACGGCCGCGAGCAAGACGGTGCGCATCCCCTCTTGCCGCACCAGCTGCTGCCGGCTGAGCGAGCCGCCCTTGCCGTGCTGCCACGCCGGCAGCAGACCAGGACGCCCCAGCCCGTGCGCCTCGGCCTTCGCCAGGCCCTCGACGTGATTGTTGAGGAATTTTCTCTTCGTCTCCTTTGACTCGTGCTTGGCCTCGAGCTGCGCCTCGGCGTACAGCGCCTCAGTGCGTGCGCGTTGCTCGGCGGTCTGGTTGCCCCCCGAAATGAAGAACGAGGCGCGGGGCGAGTACGGGCAGCGAGTGGCGAGCAGCTCGAAGAGCGCGTGCGCGAGGCCGCTCACCAGCGTCCGCTGCCACGCGGCGACCCACCGGTCGCGCTCCTCAGGGCAAGCGGCGTCCTGTTCACAAATAGTAGGCATCAAGCGCTGATTCACGGGAGATTACTGACACTTCGCCGAGCCGCTAACCCGGTGCAGCTCGAACGTGGCATCCGAGGCGTCGGAGCCGGGGCAAGGCTGGCACACCGCGTTGCTGGGGTTGCTGCTGCAGAGGCACTGGAGGCGGTGGTCGCACTTCGCGTGCTCGACCTTGACGTGCATCTTCAGGTCCGCCTTGGAGTCGCCGCCCGCCAGCATGGCGTCGTCGATGACGTTGCGGAAGCGGAGCAGCGCCTCCGCCAGGCGTGGATCAGCACCGCGGACAGCGGCGAGCCTGGCCTCAGTCAGCCACACGTGCTCGCCCCCCGACACTAGCGAGCCGCCGCAGTCCCGTGCCACATCCGGCGGCAGCAAGTAGAAGGTGCCGCAGCCGGTGCCGTTGCGCGACAGGAGGTCGCCACACGATGCGGCGTACACGACGACCTGCATCGCGTCCTCTGGCTCGAGGCGGGCCATGGCATCGCTCACTTCCGGCAGCTGCGCGAAGTCTTTGAGCGGCAGCTCTTGCGGCACCGCGCCGTGCGCCAGGATGGGATCGCGACGGCCTTTGGCAGCGCCCTGCTGCGTGTCGGCGGTAACGACGATCTCGAGATGCCCGGCGGCTCCGGCGACGCCCAGCTGCTGCACTCGCTCCACGAACTCCCGGACGAGCGCGGCCCGGTCCGCCTCGGAGGCTTCGTACGCACATGCCGCCGCCTCTGACGCCTTGCGCTCTGCCGCCGCCGCCGCCTTGCGCTGCGTCGCCTCCTATATGGCACGTCACGGACGTGTCGCGGACACTCAGAGAGCGCCTCCCTTCCGCCGCCGCCGCCTGCAGCGCCGCCGCGTAGCACACCGCCGCCTCCTCCGAGAGCGGCGCCCGCGCGCCGCCGTTGTGGCTTCCCTTCCGGCTTCCCCTCCGGGTTCCCGCTTGTTCCCAGGTGCCAGCCATCTCCTCGCCGAGCAGCGACACTGCCCTCTGCGCGCAGCTGGGTTGGCCGCAAGTTTTGCGGGAGGTGGGAATCCCAAGCGAGATGGGCCCGCCGCAACGGGCGCAGGCCCGCCGCGCATCGGAGGCGGGGGCCGCGCTGGGGCCGGCTGGCCTGCGCGCGGTCGAGACGGGGAGAGGGGGTGTGTGTGCTGGCGGGTGCAGCGAGGGAGCGGCTGTGGTGGATTGTGTGTGTGTGTGTGTGTGGGGGGGGGGAGCCTAGCCACGACGCAGCCGGGGAGAAAGAGTCCCTACCGCTGGGAGATCCGTCCGGAGGACTCCCGTGCGCGGTGGGTGAGAGGATGTGGCGGGCGCATCGCGTCTATGGGGGCGCGGGTGGTGGGGGTGGGGGGTGGGGAAGTGCAGCGGAAGGGGGGGGGGGGGGGGAGGTGTGTGCGGCCGGGGCCCCCCCCCCCCTCTGGGGTCCGCCGAGACGGGCGGGACGGGGGCGGCCGAGCACTGTTGCAGCTCGAACGGCGCTGGGATGGACGAGACAAAGGTGCGGATCGCCTCGGGCGGCGCCTCGAAGAGCTCGCCTGACAGCCGAAACTCCGAGGCTGCTCGCGCCGGAGGGGCGGGGTCGCCCTCTTCTGGCGCGCCTCCTTCGGTCCAGCGCAGCGAGCGCTCCTCCGCGCCGCGCCCTTCTCCGACCACCTCGGCCTCGAACCAGGCCTCCTCCTCCTCCTCCGAGTCGTTGTCCTGCACAGGGGCGCACGGAGAGGGGGTTTGGGGGGAGGGGGGGAGGCCGATCTCCGCACCACCACTCGTCCTTCCCCGCCGCCCGCCCCCCTCCCGCCGCACCTCCACAGTGAACGAGCCCTGCCACAAGGCGAGCACCTGCGCGGAAGGCACGAGCAGGAGCGGTCACCGACAGGAGCCGTGCTGCCCCGCCTCCGTGACGCAGCGGGCAGAGGGCGTGGGCGCGGGCGTGAGGCCTCACCCGCGTGCCGCTCGCCATCTCGCAGAGCGGAGGCACGCGCGAGACGAGCGCCACGTTGTGCGCCTCCACCCACGAGGGGTCTTCGCCTGCGGGAGGCGCGTGCAAGGCTCTGAGGGCGAGGGGTGCGCCGCCCGACTCCCCGCACGAGAGGCGAGCACCGTCGCTCCACGCCACGAGGAAGGAGTTGCCTAGGGAACGGAGCCGAGGGCGTGACGCGGAGCCGCCCCTCCCCCGACCAATGCACCGAGGCGCGCCCTCGCCTCTCCCGCCCCCGCCCGCCGGGCCGCCGGCCGAATCGCTCCTCTTCACGGCGATGACGGTGCCGAGGTAAAAGTAGCCGTCTTTGTAGCGCGCGATCACCTCCGTCGCGTCCTGCCCCGTCCCCACAACCACCGTCGTACCGGCCGACGACGGCCGGGCAGGCGGTGGTGGCGGAGGTGCCGGGGCCGGGGCGGGGAGAGGAGGCCTGCGCGCGAGAAGGCGGCGGCGGGGGGGAGGGGGGGGGGGGGGGGGGTTGCAAAAAGCCCCTTAGGCGCTCGGGCTCCTTGGCTGAGGCCTTTGGGGGCGCGGCCCTTGTTCCCCCCCTTCGGGGGTCCGGTTTTCAAAACGCCCCTAACCCCCGGCCCTCAGGAGGCCCCTAGTTCGCCCCCCTGACGGGACGCATTCTTGGGCGAAGTTCCCCAATCCCCCTTCTCCCCCGGGGGGGGGCCCTCCCCAGACCCCAGGTCTTTTACCCCCCTGGGGG